CCCCCCGCCCCGCCGCGTCTACCTGCCCGCCGTGGTCATGAACGGCCACGTCCACGACCTGCAGATCATGGACTTCCCGCCCATCACAGCCTTCCCGGTCAACACCCTGCAGGTAGGTGAGCTGGGCAGAGCGGGGCCGCCACGACGACGGCTCCTTCCTAAAGGAGAAACTCCATCACGGGCCTCTCTGGGTCGGAGCTCCTCACGGATCTCCCTGGTGGACTCCTAGGCTTTGGCTCCAGGTTACTCCATGCATGGTCGTCTAGAGAGGCCTTTCCCCAAGAGCACATGTGGATACCCGGGACAGGGGCTTTCCCATGGGATGCTGCATTTCCTGGCCGGCCACTTGGCTGCTGCCCCATCTTGGTGTTGTGCTGGTGACTCGTGGTGGCAGTGGGTTAGTGCTGCCGTGGCCGGTACCGGCTTGGACCCGTCAGGGAGCTGAGGAGCCCAGCTCGCTCGGGTGAGGCAACACTGAGCCGGGTCTCCGTCAGCTCCAGCGCTGCCAGAGGATGAGCGGAGGGACCGGGATGTGCTGGGATGGCCCCATGGATGGTGGCATCTCCACCAGGGCTGGGACCGCTGGTGTCTCTGGTCAGTTGATGTAAGCATACAGCTGCCCCATGTGTGGGGACGGGGCTATATGTTATATAGGCCCCCTCGGTGCTGGTGGCTGTCAGGGATGAGGAGAGGTGAGCGCTCCCAGGGAGAGGAGGAGTGAGCTGGGAAGGAAAAGTCAGTCAGAGAGAGCCTGAAATAGCAAAGAGTGATTTATTGGCCTGATTTATTGACCCTAGTGATGCTGTTCCTTGCTGTGCCATGGTGGGAATAGCCGGGGGTTCCAGGGAGCAGGAGGTGATCACAGAGTTATCCCAGAGGGGAGGAGAAGAGTTGGGAAGGGAGGGCGGGAAAGAGGCCCGGATAAACCTGGTGGTTTCTCCCCATGGCCATTCCTCCTCCATGGCATCACCGCCATCCAGCCTCCCCTGAGCACCCTGGCGCACAGGGATGGAGCATCGGAAGCTGCGTCTTTCCCAGGTTCTCAGATAATCAGGCCCCAAGCGTTGTCTTATCATCTCCATGGTCTTCACATTTTTCCTCATTTCTGAACACCGTAAACATACCAGGGTGATTCACTGTAGAAAAGTGCCTTGTGCAGGGAGTGCTGATGTGCTTCCCTCTTGGTGCACTTCCCCTGGGTCCCTGCAACCTTAACACAGCCGGGGAGGAGATGAAAATACCCTCCTCCAACCACTGCCTCTGCTCGACTGCAGATGTACCTGTGGCCAGGGAGAGAAATAGGAAATTGGGGCAGTTTTCCACTGCCACATCATGCAAAAACCTTGGCCTGCCATGAGCAGACTCTGCTCACCCATTACCTCAAACTCCAGGGGACATTGCTAATTAAGAGACCTAATTTGCAGCCCGTAGAGGGTGATGCTCTCTGCGCTGAGTCCTTCCCCGCACAGCCGCTGCCTGGGGCCCAGGATCACACCCAGCCCGTCTGCCCAGCTCCATTAAGGCACCTTCACAACACAGCAGGGTTTAATCCTCATTTAGGAGAGGAATTGGGACTGACAAATCCCCTTATCCATCCCCTGGATTAGTTGTGGGGTGGTGGAGATGCAGGGGAATTGCAGGAGGCCAGAGCCTGCAGAGGGTTCCCCCCTGCCTGGAAAACCCGCCGGTGCCGCAGCGTCTCCAACGGGGCTGGCGCACGGCCCGAGCAAGGATTGACCCCTCTCTGCACCTTGCAGGAGTGGGCGGACGTGTGTTGCAGGGGGCTCCGGAGCGTCCATGCCTACATCCTGGTCTATGACATCTGTTGCTTTGACAGCTTCGAGTACATCAAAACGATCCGACAGCAGATCCTGGAGACGAGGTAGGTGCCCCGCTCAGCCCTGTGGCACCCGCTGCTCCTTGCCACCCTTTGCAGCGCATGGAGCACGATAGCTAAGGCAAAACCCGCCACGTAGGCAGAGCTTGTGCCGTCATCACAAGCGGTCAAGGCAGGAGGTGTCTGGAGATCACCTTTGGCCAGATGTGAGCATGGCTGGAGGCTATGAGGGAGGATGAGAGGGCAGCGTGTTTGCCTGGCACACACCTCCCTTGAAAGCAGTTGAGGTGCCACCAGGACCCACTTTGGGGTGGGTTGGGGTTCATGGGCTGGTCCATGAGGCAGCAGGATGGGCAGGACAAGCTCTGCTCTGTGTCCGGTCCCCTTCTCTCCTCCTCCAATCCTCTTCTGTTCTCAGGGTCATTGGCACTTCTGAGACGCCCATCATCATTGTGGGCAACAAGCGGGACCTGCAGAAGGGCCGGGTGATCCCCCGCTGGAACGTCTCCAACCTGGTGAAGAAGACGTGGAAGTGCGGCTACATCGAGTGCTCGGCCAAGTACAACTGGCACATCCTGCTGCTCTTCAGCGAACTCCTCAAGAGCGTGGGCTGCGCCCGCTGCAAGCACGTCCACACCACGATCCGCTTCCAGGGCGCCCTGCGCAGGAACCGATGCACCATCATGTGAGACCTCCTGGGCCCCCGCGGAGCTGAGCGGCAGCAGGAGGAGAGGACGGGCTGCTGCTGGGGGGACATGCTGGGACGGGACACCTGGTACTGCCCGGAGCATGGCGATGATGCTGTGGGTAGCACGGGGTGAGGATGGACCTTGGCTAAACCTGCGAACCCCAAGGCCTCCCGCTGCCTCCCAGTGCCCGGGGCCAGCACTGCATAGAGGTGGGTTGTATCTCGGCTGCTTCGATGGAGGGGGCCTCCAGGCCATCCCTATGGGCTGGCTTTGGGCGATGCTCATGGAGAGGGATGGCCCTGGAGCTCTCCTGTAGACCTCAGATTCCTACCTTGCCGTTCACCACCGTGTCCCTGCTCCTTGCCAGCCTGGGCTGGTCTCTTGGCCGGTCACGGGCACCTGGGCACGGCAGTGCAGCCGGTCAGGCCCCTGGCTCGAGAAAACGCTGGTGTTCCTCCCACGAGCTCCTCTTCTCCAGCCTGGGCTTCCTCCAACTCATGCTCCATCTTTCCACCCCCCTCTGCCCCTTTCTATTCCCCTACCGCCAGTGCCCCCGTTGCGCTGCTGTTCACCACGTCCCCAGACTGCCCCAAGGTGGCTTTTCTTGCTGGAAAACCATCCCGGCCCTGTGGTCTGGCAAGCAGGGAGCCTCTGTTCACCTCCGTTCACCTCCACTGGAGCCACCGGGCTCGTTCCTGCTTGCTGGGCTCCATATCCCAGCAGAATTTTTAGTTGAAACCAAGGCAGGAATGGCAAAAGAGAGATGGGTGCCTGGAACGCAGCCCTTTCCCCGAATCCCAGCCGCCAGCCCGTGTCTGAGCTGGCCCCAGAGCCAGAGGTGCCCGTGTCCCCTGTGTCTCTGCTCCCACCAGGGCAGCCTTTCTGCCCCCGGCAATCTCAATAGTGCCAGCGCCCCTGGCAGCGCCGTCCTCTCGTCCCAGTTGCAGCAGGTTTCCCAGGAAAAGTCCCCATTTTCTACCTCTTATCCTGGGCCGAGAGCGCTGCCGCGGCCGGAGGAGGTGGCCCATGAGTCCAGCAGCCGCGTGGCCCCAGCTCTGTCACCGCCTGCAGTGTGGGGACCCGGGGGCAGCTGTTCCCTATGGGCAATGCTCTCCCCATTGGTACCGCTGCTTCCTGGCCTGGCAAAGGGGCCTTTTTTGTTTTTTCCCTTTTTGACCTCCCCCAACCTGTTTGCTTGGCCCCAGGCCACCAGTTCACCCGTGGTGGCATCTGAATGGCCAAGCAGGGACTCGGCTAGTGACTGTGCAGCCGGGATGGCCGGATCTGGGGCTCTCATGACCTGGTAGACATGGCCCCCTGCAAAACAAGAGCAGCCCCACAGCCAGAGATTTTTTCCCCCTGATGCGTTTCCATTCAAACCTGGTAACACTTTCTATTAAGAGTACTCCAAACCCCACGGCAGTGCGTGACGTTTTTCTGGCCCTGCATCCCAGATGCGCCCAAAAACATGAAACGAAAGAGAAAAGGCTGGGGGGAAACCCGGGTCCTTCTCAGATCGGGGCCCAGCATGGAGGGTTAAACACCCTGTACGTGACCGCAGCCCGTCCCAGCCTCCCTCGCCAGGATGTAGCAGCACACGTGAGCCCATGGTAGTGCCCTCTCGCTAGCTTTAGCCCCCCAGACTGTTTGGTAAGGAAACTCCCTGGTAAATGCTTAGAATAAAGCATTCCTGAAGTGCTCCGACGTACACATATCAACGACTAAGCCAATACATTGTTTGTTATAGCCCGGTAGCCTGCAGTTTATAGCACAATTAGTTACACGTTTTTATAGCATCTGATTTAGTATTTTGGAAGACAAAAAAAAAAGTTATAAATACAATTGTTATATTCTACTGCACTTTATAGACAGAGAACATTATATTAGTAATAACCACTCGCCGCTTAGGTAGCGTTTCCCAGCGCCCAGGAGACTTGGGGCTGCCAGGACGTGTTTCCCGGGAGAGTGGAGTTCGGCTCCCAGGCAGGAAAAGCGGGATCGGGAGCAGGGGATCGGTGCAGCTGTGTAAGGGGCTGGAGCTGAATGAGCTCAGTCCCTTCCGCAGCTGAACTGCCTCCCCCTCTTCCCGAGAGAAACCCTTAGTATAAAGTGTTACCGCTCTCTAAACACGGCCGTAGCTCTGCTACACGATTCCTCACTCAACTCTACTTCCACAGCCAAAAAAGAATAAAATCCTCTTTTCCCCGAGTGCCACCGAGGGCCTGGATTGGCCCCATGTGGCCAAGGCTGGTGTGGGAGCGGTGCTCTCCAGGATGCACCATTCCCATTCCCAAGCCAGCACGCACCAGGCTTCCTAGCACTCGCCTTCCCCGGGGTGTCTTGTCGGAGGTCCCCCAGGGGCTGTCCAGCCCGTGACACGCCACACTCCGGTATTTGAAACCGAATTAAAATCAGGTCTGTTCCCCCTTGTTCTGTACCCGGCTCGCTCTCTTCATTGCTTGCGGCGCCCAACTACTCATGGCCTTCCCTGGGGAAATGACTGAAGTGGGACCATTAAGTGTAAAGTGGTACCAGCTCTGGAAAGTCCATGTTGGGGACGGTTTCAATGTGTCCGGTGTCATTCAAGTGCCCAGCCGCTCATGCGCCAGCCCCAGGGCAACTTCTGATGCCAGTTGCAGCCAGAAAGGGCTGTTAAAAAGCAATTCCCCAAACCGCGATGGAATTGGGGAGAACGGGAGAAGCCGCAGGCCTTTCGGTGCGGGCTGGCAGAAATCCTGCTGCCCAAAGCAGTTTGCAAAGGGAACGTCTGGGAGAGTGGGGTTAGTTTCTCCTTTGCACCAGGGCTGCGGTGGCTGGAAAAGCACCTGTGTCCTATTGGACTGAGCCAGGTGGGTGCCAGCACCTGGCACCGCATGCAAGTGCCTTGATCCTCACCCGTACATTCGCACCCAGCCTCTCCTCATTCATTCTCATTTCATTTCACTCGACATCAAGGCTTTGGAAAAGGAAGGTTGGGAGGTGAGGGAGCACGACTCGGGGCTCCCCTTGCCCTCTCCTCCCTGGGTTTGACTGAATCCTCTCCCAGAAATCCCATCTCTGTTGGCCCATGCCGGGATTTGTTACGGAAGGAAGTTTCGGATGGGCATTCTGGACAGAGGAGAGGCTGCACGGTGCTGGGCAGTGCGAAGCAAAGGCAGAAACCACTGAGACTCTGGGCAGCCCCAGGGGCCATGCGATCAGAGCCGAGCAGCATTTCTGCTGCTCTGGCACTCTCAGCTGGCGCAAATCAAAGGGATCCCACACGTTTGTTCAGGTCTTTGGTGCTGTAAGTGCTGTTAGTCCCATTACACAGACAGGGAAAGGTGCAGAAGGTTGATGCTGGGGGACCTGGGTGCTGGCAGCACCGGCTCCGCTCAGCAGCCCAGCCCTCCTCTTCCTGCCACGAAGTGCTGCCTTCTCTCCATTTGTGACTCTGAGCCCCATTTCTTCATCCACACCAGTAAGAGCAGCCTGATTGGGAGTGATGAGTCCAAACCAAACCTGCTGCAATGGATCCGCTCCACAGTGCCCGAGGGTGCATCCACCTCCCAGGGACCGGCGTCCAGGAACACCCTGGCATCTCCATCAGACCCAGGCCTCTTCCTCCTCCTCCTCCTCCTCCGCGTCCTCAGTGGGGCGGGTGGCCGGCGGGGGCTCGGCGGGGCGCGC